CAGAGCCTGACGCGGGGCTCGAACTCATGGACTGCGAGATCGTGACCTGGCTGAAGTCGGACGCTCAACCGACTGCGCCACCCAGGCGCCCCTCCAACAGCCATTTTCTACTGGATCAGACAATTCCGTTAAAGCCCGCATACACAATTGAACCAAACAAATAAGGAATAAGGTTAGCATTTGGAACAGTAATGGAGTACCACACAGGACGGTGCAATTTGTGGTTACTGCAGTACTGATATTATAGGATCATTCAACTTGCTTCAAGTTATAAATCAGGCATCAGAAACAGTTTAAAAAATCAAAACTTTATATTGGCCAGTATCTTTTAGGTAGTCACAAAACATTCCAAGTGGGAGCTGGAACATACATATAAACATGGGAAAACTGCCCTACATGCTGATTAATTACAATAAGCATTCATTCCATTTGAACAGTAGTTCACAAACTTTTCTGGTCTCAAGACCCCTTTATATACTCTCTTAAAAGTCACTGAAGACTTCAAAGAGCCTCTGTTTACGTGGGTTATAGCTACTGATATTTGCCAAATTAGAAATTACAACTGAGAGGGGTGCCTGGTGGCTCAGGTCAGTTAAGCATCCGACTCCTGATTTCTGCTCAGGTTGGTGGGATTGCTCTGACAGCGAGCGCCAAGCCTGCTGGGGACTGTCTCTCTCTGCCCCTCCCCCAGTTACACACACTCTCTCTCTCTCAAAATAAACAAACTTATAAAAAAATAAAACTGAAAATTTTTTAGAAAGTTCATTTACAACTAAGCACAACAAACCATCATGTGTTGAGATAAATAACATACCTTATGAAAGAACTACACTTTCCAAAGAACAAAAGAAAATTAGTGAGAAGAGTGGTATGGCTTTACAAATTCTCTTTAATGGCTGGCTTAAAACGGGAGTGTTAAGAACTCAGGTGAGCTGGAAAATACATGTCTGTCTAAAGGGCGCAGTCACTCCTTTGCTCTGGCCAAGTATCTGTCGGTCCGATTCAGCTTATGGACCACCATTTTACAACATTTGGGGGTCACCGAATTGTTCTCAAGAATCTCTTTGATCCTGGGGCGCCTGGGTGGCTCCATCAGTTGAGCATCCGTCCGACTCTTGATTTCGGCTTAGGTCATGATCTCACAGTTTCATGAGTTCGAGCCCCACGTCAGGCTCTGTGATGCTTGGGCTCTTAAACTGACAGCACGGAGCCTGCTGTCTGCCCCTTCCCTGCTCCCACTCTCTCTTTCTCAAAAATAAATAGTAAGTAACTTAAAAAAAGTCTCTGATCTTTAACATCCTAGACTTAGCTTAGAGAATATTTTAAACCCTTTCTTTTGTCAGAAGGGTGAGATTGATAAACACTGGGCAAATCTGGCATCAGCGGGTGCAGTACTCTGTTGACCTTTATTTAGCTAAATATTGAAGAGTTCAAGTCC